TAATACAGTCTTAGAAGTTGAAAACATGGGTTTTATGGTTGGGAAGAATTCTCCTGAACCTAGTTTGAAGTTGCACTTGTTGCGGCTTAAAATCCAACCGTTGTATCAAGACGTGAAAATCTGTGATTTGGCGTTGTAAACAGAGCGAGGACAATGTCTAAATTATTCATATATTGTAATTACTCAATTCTTTTCAATGATCTATATATTGTATTGGTAGCTATTGCCATCGCGTTGCCGTCCTAAACAGGGGCGTAACTACAGGGCGGGGGGGGGGGTAAGACACCCCCCTCCAATCTTTCGAAACGGTACTCTCGTCGGGCGAAAACTAAGAAAAGGTCGGGCAAAACTACTGAAAATCCAGTAGAGAATTTTAAATCATCTGGATGGGCAGGGCAATGAAAGATTTTAAATTTCAGATATTGTTAAAAAAATAAGGGTTTCATGCATGTTTTAACAGGGATTTGTCCGAAAAAAATTTTTTGAGAGCACAGCTGAGAGATCCATTAGTGGTAAGGTTACATAACGTTTACAAATAATTAACGTCAATCTGCCGACCACTAATCATTAAGTTGAAGAAAACTGGGTTTTTTCTTACTTGAAGTAACTTGTAACTAGTTACAAAAATATTGAAGTATATTTTGTAACGGCAACTAGTTACATTTTTAAAGTGTTACTTTTACCAGTAACTTGTTCCTTTTTTGGGAATGTAACTGTTACTGTAACTGTAACTAGTTCCAAAAAATGAGTAACTTTTACAGCACTGGACCAAACTATCTACCCCTTTGTCTAAAACGCGAGTACGTGACGCCCTGTAGCATTAATGCATAGTAACACTTTGTTCGTTAAATTTTTAGCTTTTCTAATTTCTACTATTTGTCGGAATAGAAGAATGATGGTAAATATTTAAGTACAAGATAAAACATTCGCAGCCGATCTGTATCTGATATAGCTGAAGTTTATGTAAATCAGGACAAATCTTTATCCGATTAACAAACATTTATTATGATAAACATTCATTTCTTTTGTATTTTCCTCGTGAATTATTAATGAATTAAAGAAATATACAAAATTCTACAACACAGTACCTCTTGCTTGCATGTCCATGTATCGTTATTATCACCAAAATATGAAAGATGAGCTTCGAAACCATTTTTTGCAAAATATCTTATAACAATATTCGGAAACATGCGGACAGTTTTGTTTTGAGCATATCGAGGCTATATGTTAAGGATTAGGTAGATTTGTTCCACTACTGTGGAATTCACCGTTTTGCCAAACTGCTATCGCGTTGAAAGTGGATGTCAACAGTGATGTGTATACTGTATAGTGGTTCAAGATGAAACCCGGTAGATTATTTCACATCCTAAACCATTTGTGCTGAACATCGGTCTAACAGAGCCTATGGCTATATACCTTATATGCGTAGGGGAAATACAATAATTGCTCTGTTTGTTTCAAAAGACTTTTTAAACAAAGTCTGATAAGAGAGACGTTGAAGACATTTCGAGCGAAGGCCCTTAGTCTGGAGTCACCTTAACATGTACAAGCTTTCGTTGCAAAGAACTCAAAGAGCCTTCGCTCTGCCTGCAATAAAAACGGGTTCGAAAATTTCTTTGCGGTAGTAGTTTAAAAGTTAATACGATGTGCAAAACAATTGAAAATAAAGTTAAACAAGCTTACTTGCAACAACATTCAGTTGTTTACTAACACCGAATTTACCATATTTGTTCGAGGCAACACACTTATACACGCCATCGTCCGCATTCTGTACGTTTCTAATCCTTAGTGATGACGACTCCCCATTTCGTTGTCGAAATCTCTTGTTCTTCTGAATATTTTTGCCATTCACATACCAGATCATTTTCCAGTCAGGTTGCCAGTTATAGAAATTGCATTTCAGAGTGGCATTTTCACCCAATGGAAGAATATAGGAACTGGGTGCTTCATCTACCAATACTGGTTTCTCGCCTGTGAATAAAGAAAGTGAAGTTATTGCGGTTTGTCAGTCCAGTAAAAGCTCTACTTTGGGAACGATATAGGAAACAGATGACGAGTCAAAAAGGAAATGTTTTATGCCAGAACGAAAATGTTTTAAGTTCGTATAGTTTACAATGCATGACTGACACCGACTACACTGTCTACATATGTTTCTAACGGCACCGTCTTTATGCTTCTCCAATTAGCATTTTTTATTATTTTTAACTTCAGCATACTTTTATTATCTTTTCTATTATTATTTTTTATTTATTTATATTTTATATTTGAGCTAGTTTTGCAAATCCGTAACGTAACTCTAATGGCATTATTTCGCTCCGCGGCGTATAGTCATAGCTTGCTAAATAAAAACTGTATCCGCAAACAAATTTTAGCAAACAAAGCCGTAAATTCACTCGATTTCGTGATTTGAGATATTGGGTTTAGAGCTACAGGTGACCCATTTACAAAACCACGCAGTTATACTAAATACCTTGCAATAACAGGTCATCAGTAACAAGATAAAGGGCTTTATAACTAAAGCCGTCGCCAACGATTATACTGATTTAGATCGAGGACGCGGACGTCAAAGACGACGTGAAAATGGTGTGTTGTGCCTATGTATGGATATGCCACGTCATTTTGACGCCATTTTCACATCGTCTTTGACGTCCGCGTCCTCGATCTAAATCTGTCTCCTATACTTGAGCTAAAACAAAGCTTGTTAAGGTGGCTCGATATAGTTATTACGAAAACGCTGGTCAAGAATTGCGAACAAAACCGGGTAAACATTTTTACGCGCCGGTCGCGGAAACTGATTAACGGAATGAAAGAACTTCCAAAATGACCTAACGTGAGCAGTTGCTCGCGCCATCTCACGTCATTGCGCGTGTTCTATAGCGTTTTATGTCAATTGCTGACGTCATTAAAATTTCCCATTTTAGAAAAACAATGCGCTATATCTCTTTATTTTGTCTGGTAACCTATATTCACATTTTGCATGCTATATTGCATCGCAAAAAACTTTCGTTATACAAACAAATCAAAAAATCTATAATGCCAAAACATTTTACTGAAGAGTACGACATTTTCGCATTTTCCAAAAAAATGGAACTATATTTTTATAGTTTGCTAATTGTTAGTTTTTCTTCCAAGTAAAATAATGCATGAAAATAATAACAATGCACGCTGTTATTAAAACGAATATAACTTGAAGGTAGAGATATCAAAATATATAAAACCCACAGTATCTGCTGAATAAATGCTAAAAATGCGTAGTTTGAACATGTCAAAGTGTTCAAGATTTTTTGAAAAGTGTATTGAGCCATCTTATAATATAAATAAACAGTTAGATAATGCTAAAACTAGGGTTAGTGTTAGGGTAAGGATTCGTGTTAACGAAAAGACTATACTTACAATAATAATAATAATAAAACTTTATTCAATGAAGGATTACATTGATTATTTAATATAATAGTCTTCCCAATGTTACTCTCGATGAGAGTAACATTGACAATGAGTAATATGCTTACAATCGATGCAGCGGAACTTATTAACGTGATCTGCTTCATAATTCAATTGAATAAAGTAGGTTTTGTGCTTCTTTTTAAGTTTTTATAGAAATAAATTGAGTGATTTTTTAATTTGGATGGTAAAGAATTAAATAAACTTGCACCACTGTGGGAAATTTTGGATTTTGCTTGCGTAGTCTTAACTGATGGAACTTTTAAGTCTGTAATAGACGATCTAGTTCGAATTGGATGAGAGTCGCGAACTCCACGCGATATCGAACAGGCAAACAATGTAGCTCCTTAAGATTGGTGAGATATGCTAAAACCTAGGAACTACACAGACAACTCGAGCAGCAGCGTTCAAAACTCGCTGTAGTCGATTAAATTGGTACTGGGGTATACCATGGTAGAGCAAAGAGTTGCAATGAATAAGTGTTTTCGTCGAGTCAGGAGTTAGAAACTTTCGAATTTGACAAATGTTATGCAAACTGCACTTCAGTCTGTTAACTGCTTGAGAATTAGTCTTGCAGCACGTTTCTGTAGTTTTGTAGCCACTTAATTAGTTGGTTATTAGCATTGCCCCAGACTGTGCTACAATATAGCAAGTGTGGGTAGATTAGTGCGTAATATAATTGAATACGAGATTGAAAAGTAAGATAGCTACGTATACGTTGCATGAGCAGATAAAGTCTAGAGTTAATTATATTGTAGATGGTATTAATTTGCTTATCCCATTTCAAATGTTGGTCTAGTGTAACTCCAAGTAAAATGGCCGGAAACGGATGTAATCTCCTTACCATTATTGTTATTGACCTCAATGGTTATTGGACTAAGATCAAGGAATTTAGATTGGGAATATATTTTCATTATTTAATTTATTTTAGCCTTGTCAGAATTAAGAAATATTTTGTTATGGTGAGTCCAACTGGACACTGAGGTCATATGTGACTTTAGAGAGACACTAAGTTCGTGAAGGTCCGATCCGGAGGATATTAGTGTAGAGTCATCGGCAAATAAAAAAGGCTTAGAAATTCCAACGTATTAGAATGTTAGAGTTTTTAGAACTTCCAACGTAACTGGGTCCTTGAGGCACACCAGACTTTATCAGAGCTAGATAAGGGTGCAATTTATACTACTTGGTAACGATCATTTAAATACGATTTAAACCATTTTAAGGATATTGATGTAATGCCATATTGTTCTAATTTCTGCAGTAGGAATCTGTGATCGACCAAGTCAAACGCTTTAGAGAAATAACCTGACACGTGCCATACAACCACTGATACATTTGTTCAAACTCTTTTTGTTGGCCTCACGCGACGTACGTATCCCTCGCCATTGTACATAAGACTCCGTAAGGTAGCTGGGAGTATGGCTGTTAAAATGTGTAAATTTTATCTGCAGGTTTTTTAAGTTTATTCATTATTGCCCAAATTTAATTTACATTAAAGGTGCCCTACAGTCCGCTCTGCGCATGTGCACAAAGGAACCCACATTTTATGATACAAACAGTTTAACTATGTTTTAGGTTCTTGCAAAGCCTGATTGTTTTTTCTTGATCATTTATTATATATATTGAAAATATAAATAGTTGTCAAATAAAGCTCAGTATTTTGGACACAAAAATGTAAACAAAGGCTTTGTTTATATATGGACTGTAGGACACCTTTAAGGGAATTCATTTTTCGGGGTGTGTTTTTCTTTAATATATAGTACTGCACATGGTATATTTGTGAAGGCTGGCGGCTGCAAAATTTCGAGCTCTGTCAAATTATGATTTAAAAATGTTATTTATTGTCTGAAAGAAGTCACCTCTACAAACAAATTTGATCTTAATTGCTACATAGTACTTTGTTCTCACAAATTGCGGAAAGAAGAAAGCTGATTTGGTACATGAAGCGAATTATTCAACGATTTGGTGAACAATTCTACACGATTTGTTATACATGTCACATTGTTAATATTGCTAAATAACGTGATGATTGACGGTGGCTTGATCGACGATGGGGTCAGGGACAGTGTTTTTCCCTTGATTGATGGGAAAAATATTGATGATTTAAAAGTAGTCGACTTGAAGAAAGCATTGGGACTGAGGGGGCTAAAGAAATCAGGTCTAAAGGGTGAACTAAAACAGGACATTATTAGTCACTTTGTAGAATCCCTTAGTGATACGTCAATTTCATCCGAAGAACATAATGGGACCTCGACAATCCTTCCAAATCTACCTAGCTTTAAACCTATAAACCATTCTTCAGGTTTTAGGGTTTATTCGACAGAGGGAAAATTGTTCTGTGACTTCTTTGACTCGGCATATGATGAGGCGGTGAAATGGCGGAAGAATATATTTAAAATTCCTTCAGGGAAAGCGGGCAAAGAATTCATCAAATTACAATCACAATGGCTATCTAAATTTAATAATGAAGATAGTTTTATGGGTATATCATTGAAGGTTTTTATGACCCTTCCAATGATTCTTCTGCAAAAGCCCTCAGTATCGTCAAAAGCAAAGGAACATTCGCAAGCCTTGAGCCGTAGAATCAAATGGCTAAAAGATGGTGAATTACAGCGTCTGCTTTCAGAATGTCGTTCTATCCAACGTCAATTACGACCAAAGACATCCTCGGACAATCTGTCTAAAACTTTTGCAAAGTTAATCATGATGAGAAACGTTAATGCTGCTCTTCGTCTTCTTAGCGAAGAATCTGATGGTTGTGTCCTACCATTATCCGAGGAAGTCCTTCGAAATCTGCAGGAGAAGCATCCAGCCCCTGCAGATATACAACCAAGTAGCTTACTCCATGGTCCCATTATTGACCTTCGCAATATATCTATAGCAGTTGATGAGCAAACTATACTAACTGCTGCGAAAACACTAAAGGGAGCTGCTGGTCCCTCTGGCCTCGACGCTAATCAGTATATTCGTATGCTTTGCTCAAAGCAATTTCACCGTGAAGGTAAATGCCTTCGTGAACAAATTGCTTTGTTTGCTGTGAAAATAGCAACAGAAAGTCTGGATCCCTTCTGCCTGGAAGCATATGTTGCCAATAGACTTATCCCCTTAGACAAGTCCCCTGGTATACGACCCATCGGTATTGGTGAGATTATGAGGCGCTTGGTTGGGAAAGCGCTAACAAAGGAATTCAAGCAAGATTTCAAAGAAGCGACTGGTCCGATTCAAGTCTGTGCTGGGCATGAAGCTGGAGCAGAAGCTGCCATCCATGCTATGCAGCAAGTATGGGAAGAGGAAAACACGGAAGGGAACTTACTGATTGATGCAAGTAATGCATTTAATTCACTAAATCGTCAAGTTGCTCTTCATAACATTTTGTTATTATGCCCAAGACCAGCGATATCCATAATTAATACGTATCGAAACCCCGCGAGGCTATTTATTGTGGGCGGAGGTGAGCTTCGATCGCAAGAAGGCACAACACAGGGGGACCCATTAGCCATGCCTTTCTATGCCATTTCGGTCATGGTATTAATTTCATTTCTTCATGATGCATATGATATGGTGAAACAGGTTTGGTTTGCCGATGACTCGACCGCAGCAGGTAAACTACGTGCTTTACTGGCGTTTTTTGAAATGCTAATAAGCGAAGGCGTAAAGTATGGCTACCATGTCAACAGTGGGAAATCTTGGTTAGTAATTAAAGATCCGTGTGATATAGAGAGAGCCACTGAATTATTTAAAAGTCACGACATCAAGATTACATCCGATGGTCATAGATTACTGGGAGCTGTCATTGGATCTACTTGTTTCAGAGAGGAATATGTTAATAGCAAAGTCTCTACTTGGTGTACTGAGCTCGAAAATCTATGCTCTATAGCGAAGTCGCAGCCACATCCCGCATACGCTGCTTTTGTGCATGGTTATAAGCACAAGTTTACTTTTTACATCAGGACTATTCCAAACGTGGCCCATTTGTTCCAACCTGTAGAAGAAATTATTTGTTCGAAATTTCTACCAACTATATTTGGCCAGGATATTTCTCAACTTGATCGGGAAATTTATGCTCTACCCATACGTAATGGAGGACTGGGAATACCACGTATCCCAGAAGATGCTGATTTCGAGCGAAATACGTCAAAACTGTTATGTGCTCCACTATCTGCTTTGATCATCATTCAAGCATGTAATCAACTTCCACAAGACGTCGCAATAGCCAACGTAAAGTCCCAAGTTCGAAGTCTTCGGGTGGAAAGAGCAACTACCTCCTCATTATCGGTTGATATTCAACTTTCCCAAGAGCAGCATCGAACAATCTCTTTAGCCCGAAATAAAGGTGCCTCTGGATGGTTAAATGTCTTACCACTGCAAGAAGAAGGCTTCTGTCTGAATAAAGAAGAATTCAGAGACGCTTTGGCGCTGAGATATAACAAATATATCCCAGATCTCCCAAGCATATGTCCCTGTGGAAAACCTTTCGATCCTTACCACGCGATGGAGTGTAAAAAAGGTGGCTTTATACACGCGTGCCACGACCAAATGAGAAATCTGGAAGCTGCTCTCCTTTCTGAAGTCTGCAATGATGTTTCTATCGAGCCACCTTTACAACCGGTGACAGGAGAAGAATTTGCCTTGAGATCAA